CACCGTCACCGCCGCCCGTCCCGCCGCCCCGCGTCCCTTCTGCCCCCGCCACTCCTCTAACTGTGTTTTAAAGACGGGAGGTTGTCAGTGACGCAGCTCTGCGGCAGCCTGGGCTGAAAGATCCCGGGAGCAAAGCTTTTTGGGGGTTTGTTTGTTTTTTTGGGGTTGGTTTGGGTTTTTTTTAGAATTAAAGCATTATTAGCTAAAGATCTTCTCTGCGTTGTGAGGCGTGTGTGGGTTTGTTGCAGACGAACCGTGCTAAGTGTCAAGAAAACTAATTAATTTTCTCGTGTACTCTTGTTTTATAGCTACAGTGTCCAGTAGTAGAAGTTCTTCACTGTGAGGGTGGTGAGACCCTGGCCCAGGTTGCCCAGAGAAGCTGTGGCTGCTCCTCCCTGGAAGTGTTCAAGGCCAGGCGGGATGAGGCTTTGAGCAACCTGGTCTAGTGGAAGGTGTCCCTGCTGCTGGCAGGGGGGTTGGGACTGGATGAGCTTTAAGGTCCCTTCCAACCCAACCCATCTATGAAATAGGTTTACAGTGAACATGATTTTTACCTGGGCTTACCTATTAAGATCAGGCAGCTCAGAGTTGTCAATCTTGGTTTCAAAAGAGGCTCCTTCCAGCGGGCAGTGCCCGTTTAAACCCGCTGTGATTAAAGGCTCACTTCAGAACTAGGTAGTGGTTCACTTCAGAACTAGGTAGTGGTTCTGCTGATTTTTTTCTGCATGTTTTTTGCAGCAAAAAAACCCCAAGTTCCTACCTTCTAGTGCCACCACGTGGACATCTTCACTCGCTAATAAAAGCTTTCTTAAAATTATTTCTATTTCAAGTTATGTTCAACTTCTGTGGATGTTTATTGCTAAGTGCTGCTTCTTCACATGCTCAAGTATTTTTTTCTGAATCAAATAAAATATTTTACCTCACCTGTCCTCCCTTGATGTAGTTCAAGCATGTGTTGACATGGGAATTGCAGGTACTGCTGCCAGCAAGACACAACCTGGGCATAAGTGGAGTGTCCGCAAAGGCAGGTGGCACAGGTCTGACTGCAAGATAGAAATATCCTTTTATCTCCCTTTTTTTTTTTTTACATATATCTTTAGTATTTTCCAAGTGTTGGTAAAAGTACTAGATTACTAATTTATTTACTGTTCTCCAGATCCCTTTCAACAACAAAATAATAATCTTGATTATTTTAAGAAACCTAATTGCAATCAGAATTCAGAATGGTAAATATTTCAAGGCAAATGCCTATAAAACCAGTTCAAATATCCTTGAAAATAAATCTGAATATCAAAATATCGTTCAAGCTACACAGCTAAACTAGATCATCTTAAAACAAGGATTCTCATGGTAAACTCCATTCCCCACTTCTATTTCAGGTTTCATTGCAGAGAAACTGTGTCGTTGTTTCTGTATGAACGTTCCAAGTTTATTTCATTTTACATTCTTACTGAGAGAAGTACGAACACCATCATGGAGATCCTGGATATCGAGGAAGCAGCAGTTTTCTCTGCCCAGAGCACCCTTACTTCAGGCAGCAGGAAAGAACTCTTCCAATCTCCCTGGACTAACTGAGGCAGAATTAAAAGAACAGTTTGTAAGAGGTGATGGCCCAGGAGGTCAAGCCACAAATAAGACAAACAACTGTGTTGTCTTGAAGCATATTCCATCTGGGATTGTAGTGAAGGTAATTAAATTTTCTTTCATTAAGTCACAAATTGCATCATGTCACCGAGTCTCCTTTCACAGTAAAGCATAATCACAGTGCAAACGTCACGGAGGAGAAGGTTCTATGTATTGTGAAGAATCTCAGCAAGAAGCAGTTTTTAGCTATGAGTAGATAATAAACTTGGGGTCACAGCTGATCCTCCTGGCTTTGACAGGCAGTACTGTTTTTTAGTTTTCAATAAAATCTATCTTGATTGTAGCTGCCTTTCAGTGGCAGGTGTCACATTCCTGTCCCTCTTGTGAGTTAGTTAGAACATCTTAACCTTAACAAGTTGATCATACTCTGCAGATTCTTTGTAAGCATTCATCTTTCCTACTGCTTGTGGATTAATACATTGAAATTAATCTTTGCTTCCTTATCACAAGGGGAAGCCACAGTTAAGTTAAACTTAGAAGAAGCTTTCCAAGGTAATACGGAAGCAATCTTGTTTGGTGACAGAATTAAAGATTAATGCAAAAGCCAGTGTGACAAGTTAGAGTCACAAGTAATTATCAGGCAGTCTCTAAAATATATCACCTGGATACAAAAGTTCCAGCAGGTCTTGGCAGAAAGATGCTCTTGGTTTGAGGGAGAGGAGAGTTTCTTTACTGCAATGGCAAGAATATGTAGACTGAAAGGGAAAGTAGAAGAACAAACAGGGTCAAGTTCCAGTAAAAATGTCCTCTTGTATTTCTTCAGTGCCATCAAACAAGATCAGTGGAGCAGAACCGAAAGATAGCCAGAGAAATCCTGCAGGAAAAGATTGACCTTTTCTACAAAGGTGAAGATAGTGAAGTTTTTAAAGAGAAGAAAGCATCAGAGAAGAAGAAGCAGGAGAAAAAGAGAAGAGCAAAGGAAAACCTAGAAAGGAAAAAGCACTTTAAAGAGATGCAACAATTGGATAAGAAATAAATGTGAAATACTGACTTGCTCTAGTAGGGTAAGGGAAATGTTTGTCATTGTACCTAAACACAGTTTTCAAACTAACAGATGATGTAGGGCTTCATAAGCACAACTGAAATACTGAGCAGTGACCTGCTAGTGCTGTAAAACCAAAGTGGTAAAAGCAGTCGTGTAACCTACTTCTGTCTGCCATCGTCTCATTGCTCACACTTAGCAATCAGCTTTTCCACCAAGTTTGGAAGATGATAAACCAGTTAAAACCTTGTTAAAAAGGAACGATAAACTTCCCACCATTGTTGATGGAGACAAAAATGCAATAGATCTCCTTCTGCCCGGATGATCCCTTATGTTTCACTGGAGTTCCACTACTCCAGAACAGCCCCAAAAGGTTTTAACTTTCCATCCTTTCTCAGCCAATGCCTCTAAAGAGTGACCGGGTTTAGATACCAGTTCTGATGGGGTAACCAGACAGGCTGATACAAGAGACACCAGTCACTGGTTGTGTCCTTCAGATCTGTCAGCTGAACAAATGCTCTGTCCTGCTCAATTCTGAAGGAACTTTAAAGAGAAGCTTTACAAATCTTACCTGCAGTGGTGCTGAGCACTGGGAGGGGGAAGGCACTCCTGCAAGTGAGGGCTGGGCAGTCATGTTCTTCCAGTTCAAAGGTAAAAGTGGGTCGTTACAGATAAAGAACAACATGTGGTGGAAGCTGCCTCTCAAGGCAACACCATCCAATCCAATTAATCCAATCAAGAAGTCATTCAAGCTGTGAAGTAATTAATTCTGCCTCTTAATACTGTATTTTCTTCAGGTATCCATAGGTCCATATGTATTAGATATCCCTGATAGCCCATCTCCCTTAGGATTTAGATTTGATTGTACAATAGTGAATTACAGTCATGTGTTATGTTTATGCTGTGCTGCAGTGAAGTGTGGGTATTTTGGTATCTTCACTCATTTTGACAGTTTCCCACTTTATGCAAATACCTGCAGCTGCTTTTCCTTTGTCACTGTTACTTTGAAGCCACCAGTGAAGTACACTTTCCTGTTTTAATCCTGTTAAGGACTCTAATAGCTTAACCAGAACTTCTGTTTAATTTTTGTACAGCACCCTCACCGGCTGCCACTGAGTTCTGGCCACCAACAGTGAAGGGAGAGTGTTTCAAGAACTGAAGCCATAGGGTGTACTTTGAAATCAATGGAGACTACGAGCAACTACACCGTGTTCTTACAGAGATCCACTGCATCTGGACTGGACCGTGGATGGAAACTCTCCAGCAATCCACAGGCCCGTTCCCCTTGTCTGTTCCTGAATTTGAGCCTCCTGCATGAAGGTTAAATCTTTATCTGTTGAGAGCTCTTGTTCCTGGAGTATGAATCTGATTAAAGTGACTGTACAGAGTTTTAATACAAATTGTTAATGAAAATAAGCTTTATTACGTCAAGTAATAAATACATACAAAGATGCAAATAACAGTTTTAGTAATTTATCCAGAATTGTCTTTTTTTTTTTTTTTTGGCAAACTTTAAACTGAAATCTCCAGCCTTAATGTAGAAATTAGCTTTCCAGGACCTTGTTATTATTTAATAGGTTTCCCTATTTTCCATATAACTCATGCACTTTAAATGGACTTCAAAGCACTAACAGTCATGCAAATGTTTATGCAAAACGAACGAAAAAGGAAAAATAAGAGGAGGGGAAGGTTATTTCTAAGCAGGGTCTATGCTGTATGACAAATTGTGACTTAGCAGACTACTAGGTACAGCATGCTATTCTGCGTTTATTTAAAAAAAAATCCTTAGAGCTTATGTCAAACTTTGAAAGATTGACAGTTTGGGGTTAAGTGAATATAGTCAAAGGAAAAAAAAAACAGAATGAGGCTGTGGCTGGATAAGAAGGGAACTGAAATATAGCCTGGGAGAGAAAGAGCATTCCTCTGCATGCAGTTCAGTTTTCATGTTTTAGAAACATTTTGGGGAGTTTTTAACGTCTTTACAAAATGCAAACCCTCAGTAAGTTGAAAAATCCTTGTTTTCTCATTCTTAACTATACATTTTTGTAAGGGCAAAACAAGAGAGGTGTAACATTCAAAATAAATGCATTTGACTGAATGTTTCAAGAGTCAAAAGGAATAAATGTTACTTTTTCTTCATTAAGAGATGGAAAATCTTGCAACGGAATTAGTGGGCTAGGATCTTGCATTTCGTTCCGTCTCAGCCAAGCATTCCCGAACTAATCCTCTGGCATGAATAATACCTGCAAAAGAATTGGACGTATTTTAACTCATCTCATTCAGGTCACACTTGCAATGACAGTTCAGAGAAAGGTTTACGTATTTTTTACGTATTTCAGTCCCGAGTTGCCAAGGCTACCAGAGCATGCCTCAGAAAAGGGAGAGATCCCTCGCTTCCCAAACATCAGCTGCTGCTAAACAAGTTTGCTTTCCCAAACTGGCACTATAAATTTAAAAGGGACTAAACCAGAAATCAGAGTACAATTAAGATTTGTAGGTCTGCAGTGACAGGTATATCTTAATGTGCAGTACAGGCCTATTTAAAATCAGAGACTTGAGAGAAAGGAAAAAAAAAACAAACTCATCTTACCTACCTGTGAGTTTGCTACAGTGGAGTGAAAAAAAACCATGAAGTTATTTGCAGAGTCATTTTAGCAAGATCTGAAAGTCTTAATACCTTGGGACAGTTCTCTTCTGAGAGGATACATCAAAATCCACCCTTCATAACACTGCTTAAACACAAGTTGTGTCTCTTGTAAGAATAAAAAGAAATTTGTGGTGTGTGTGAAAGTTACCTCCCAACACTGGCTCAGCTCCCAGTGTAAATCATCACCACGTTGCATGCTGCCATATCTACTCTCATCTGATAGACATAATGTGGAATTTTCCACTACGAGTCCTGTTGCCTTGAGTTCCAGCAATCTGGACCTTGATTCTTCATCCTGGAACTAAATCTAGATTCATGTTCACAGAGCTGCTGAATGAACAGAGTCTGAGATAGATTTTAAACTGAGAAACGGACAGATTTTTCTACAGCAAACAAGGCTAATATTTTACTGCCAGGACAAGACAGAAGGTGATTTCTCTGCTCAATCACGTTCCTTAACAAGGTGGAGAAAGGACAATAAGGCAATAGATGAGGTTTAATCTCTATTTAGAGATAATGGATTCTGTTTCTAGAAGACTGCTAGCCCAGATCACAGCAACAGCCTTTACATCCAAGGAACACTGACTTGGGACTTGATGGGTACAAGGCTTTGCAGAGGGTTAAATTGACACAGACAAGTCAAGCTGCATCCTGCAGCTGTGGGATGCAGAAACGCGTACTCAAAGCAGTGCCTTAGACCTGGATCTCGTGGCAGGACGCCCAGTTCATGCAGCAAAACTACCCTGAATAATGTAGAACACTGGGAATTTGGCCAGTTTTAGAGGTCAGTAGCCTCTGCGTTTAGGAGTGGGAGCTGGGGACAGGGACTGTATTCAATAAGGAATAATCTCCCCATGGCCATGGAGCCTGCAGTCACGTGGTTGCCCTCAATCACTTTTGCTCTCCCACTTGCACATGCTCCTTTAGCTATTAGGCTCCCAAAATGGAAAGAGAGGTGTGTTTGTGACCAAAAGATGGCAGCAAAAAGTATTTATTTGGGATTCTCTGCAACACTGGCAAGTCACAGTGGCAGCATTGAATCTTCAACCTCCGTTAGCCAACCAACTAAACAGCCACTGCAGGAAGTGGCAGAATGACTTTTCCTCACCGAACTGAACCGTTCAGTTCAGAGAGCGTCTGCATCTCCCCTGGTCTCTCTCAAGTTGTCCCCATTAGCCTATTGCCATTCATGATCTATTAATACTGACTCAGGCAATGTAATAAAGAGAGACTCCAGCAACATTGATTTTAGCTGGGCCAGATTCCACTTACCACTCATCAGCAGACTTTATTGCATCCTTTCCCAGAACAGCTACCAGTCATTTTATTGCATGTCACGGCAGATATATTACTCTCCCATAATGGTTGAGCCTTAAATAAAGCTTTGTAGTCTTGGGTAAATGTAAGGTGGATTTGCAAGGTGGTGAAGTTCATCTGTTACAGTAACATTCCCGTTCAGAGTTGAATGCATGAGCCAGGCTCAGCACAGGGACCAAGGAAAGGAGGAAAAGGGAACTAATTACGTTATCCTGGCAAGGGACAGAACTGCCAGCACAACTGTTGTCGATGGCCCTTCAGGGTCATTTCAGGAGCTGGAGCACTGGAATGTCCCACTGCTCCTTCAGAAATATCCCTCACACGTCCCCTGCGGAGGACAATGTCAAGCTGATGTCAGCAGTGGGGCATGCAGGGGTTTCTTTTACACTGCAAGGAAAGGGCATTTATTACCCCTTTCAGCTGACAAAGCAAAGCTGGAGACACCTCATCAGCCAGGCCCCAGAGCTTCTGTGTCCCTTTACTAGTGGACTCTTAACGACATCCACTTGACAACAGGTAATGGAGCCTAAGCAGCCCAGAGGGGGAAGGTCTATGTTTGACATCTCAGTCTGAACAGCCTTCCCTGACAACCCTTTGTTGTTGTTGTTTTTGTAGCTCTTTTCTCCACCAGCCTTAGTGTGAATTACCACAGTGTAGCATTTCTTTAGGCAAAATACACTTTAGTGAAGACTCGGGTCAAGGAGATGGGTGATGTGTATGAGAAGAAGTAAACAATACTTGGTTGTGTATTTTGGAGAGTGGGGAGAAAAGGGAATTGAAGGGGCAAGAACTAAGTCACCAGGAACCCAGAAGCACAAATCCATTAGAAACCTTAAGGGTTCTAAAATGAGGTTTGAATTATTAACTGAAACTCCCCTTGTGCACATGAAACACATTTGGTCACTGGTTTATCTATCAAATGCAGCATGAACAGAGCACCCCAAGGTTTCAGTTGCTTGTTAATACACCTGGTTTAACAATGAGCTCAAGACAGCTGTCTCCTTTCAAAGGAAACAATTCTCATAGAGCTGTATACAAGCAGTCAGTGCACACAGTGTACAGAACACAATTATTCTTTTGAAATAAATTCAAACATTACCTCTTTTTAGCCTCTCCATCGCACTTTTACTCCCAGCATATGTGGGTCTAATCTCTTTTCCTAATTCTTCTATGATAGCTAGAAGTTCTGCATATTTGCTTTGCGGTACTTGACTGCTGCTGGTACCCTGTAGTTGAAAGTATATTAATCTCAATTAATTACTACAAAAAAAACAAAAAAAAACAAAAAAAAACCAAAAACAAGTACAACAAACAGGAAGGAAATTCATGGAGGACCAGAAATAGCCCTGGAAGCCTGTAAAAAAAAAAAATAAATCAGGTTTATTCTATAAATATGATTTTCTTTTTGCGGTTGCTGCTACAGTTGGACACAACACTATGTGCCCTTCAAAAATCAGGATCAGCTGTGAGGATGCAGCTGCACGACTGGGACCTTGGGTGAAACAGAAGTTAGAACAGTCCTGCAAGAACAGCAAACTGGGAGCTGTTTATTTAACGCTGTTTCTGCTTTTTCAATGTTTAGCTGTATCTTTTGTGGAGAAGTTAGCTAGGCAGGGAGAGTGAGAAGCAGATTAAAACAAAACTGCCCATGTCATAAGGGAAATCCTATTAAGTCAAATATATTTCATGGAAACTTCACCACCGGATTCCTGAAGCAGCCCATAGGATACACACTTCATGAGACTGAATTTTAAGAGTATAAATTTGCTGAAGAAAAACAGTAGAGAAATATTCATTTCTTAACAAATAATTTTGAAATATGTTAGAGCCCTTACTATCAGAACATAACTCAAGACATGTTTCTGTGACTCAGAAGGGATGGGACTAACAGTTAATTAGTAACCAATCTCACTCAGCATGCTGCTTAGTCTAATTTGATCCCAAGACATGTGCGATGAATCAGTCTGCCATTTGGGTTTGATTTCAAATCTAGGTGGGAGGGAGGAACACCTCAGATTACAGGACACAATCCATGCTACTACGCAAACATAGGGTCAGTGATCTGCTTAAAGAAATACAAGCAGAGCTGTACCTGCATCCCTTGTGTGTAGCCTAGAGATGGGGGGCCGTAGTCGTTTATAAGCTGTCGATATTGCGCAGATGTTGCCATGCTTGTGGAGGGGGAGTGAACGCTCCCAGCTGCAGAGAGAAAAGGAAAACAAAAATAAAAATCTGTGATTATAGCTAAAGATTAATTAGTCTGTCACATTGGGACACATTTGAGATGGCATTTGTCTAACGCTGTGACCTCTCGCCTTTGTGGAAGCCGGCTAACGCCATTTCAGAGTCACACCACTTGCTAGGAAGAGAATGGTTAAATTAATGCTTCTCTAATGTTTGCTGTACATTTGAAAATAGCCCGGCCTGCAACATTATCAGCCCAAATTGTTTGCCTAAAAGTGAAACAGAGTGTAACATGACAGGTTGTTCTGCCTAGACAAACTGTAAATATTAAGGAGCCCTATTTTTGCATATATACATTCCACATAGATGAGTCTAATGTACTGTGCTATTTTTACTTTTTTAGTGCAAGTTGTCTGAAAGTAATTTTGCAACTCAAACTGTCATCACATGGTCAATGCAAGTTACCCTCAGTACTATTTTCAGCCAATGCCAAAACTATTGACAGGGAACAGTCAGTTGAGGTGTATCAGATCTGCTCATTGTATGACATCGGCAGTGAGCAGTGCTACCATTATTCCTCTTCGTGTGACATCAAACATTTTTAGCCAGTCAAATTATGCTATGTAAGTAAACCAAAGGCAAAATAACATCACTTGGGGTTATGGCTACTTTTTCTAGAGTTATAAAATAATAGGTTCAGATCTATAGGGTTAATATTATACTCAGATCTACAGGGTTTTAAGTCAGCTAGGAGTTACAGAAACAGAAATGTGATCATTGACAAACTGCTCCAGAAATGAGCAATCAAAACACTTCTTCCACCTCACCCCACAACAGTAAGAATTTCGGTTTGAGAAACAACTTTTATATTTTTCTTAGGGGGCTTAATTATGCTGCCCACTTCACAACAGTGATAGATGACCTGCTGGTTATGGACTGTACACCCAGGGCTGAAGGAGTATGACACCATTCCACTTGTTCACTCTTGCAGCTGCAGTGCTCCTGCATCCACTGATGCTGCCGTCTTTGCCTGTGGGCACAGACACAGACTGCCTGCTGTCTGGAAAAATCTTCCCCCTTACCAACTCCTTCGCTGAAAATTCCCAACTGTCTCTCATATGAGGAACAGATCTCATTTACCAGCCTTCATTTAAATCGAAATTAAACTGATGCTAAAAGTCACTAGGGCTCAGAACTATGTAAATCTCTAGCTTTGTTTTAAAGTTGCAAGTGATTTTATTCATATTTTCCCCTCACTACAAAAAGAAAGAGCCAGCAGTTACGCTGTGAAAAGCACTGCTGAACGTCATGGAGCAGATCTTGTCCTCAGCTGGGAAGTCTCTTTTCCCTTCAGAATTAATCACAGGATATCACTGTGGTGTTGTCTTCACTACAAGAATGGAGCGTGTTCTTAATTTTTACTAGTTAATTGGATGTGAAATGCTAAGAAAGGCAAATTGGGCTGGTCACTAGGTCACCTTAAAAAAACAAGGTTTATCTCTGTCTTTAACTAAGCTGCTAAATTTTATGGCATTACAATCTGCATTTCCACTGCTAAGGTTTTACGTTTTGCTAAAGCCTAGTAAAACCCCCCAAAAACTAAACCAACACACCACAGAGTACAGCACTGTGAAGGAACATCACAGTTATCAGCTATTCTCTCAGTTAGTCCTTCACATTATCAGCTCAAAATATACACACAATTGTAAGACTTCTGTATGTACCACCCAGTTAATATTTCAAGTCCAGATGACTGAACTTCAACAGTTATCAAACATGACACAACAGCAAACCACATCTTTCCTCCAAGGACTTCAAAATGCTTCAAAAACATTAATGAGCCCCTTGTGCTGCAAGGTAAGAAGGTTTAATTACCTCAATTAAGCAGAGAAAGACTCAAGCGGTTTTTCCTCATGTACAATAAAACAAAAGACCCGTCCTGCAAAGACTTGTTCCTGAGCTGTTATTGCAAGCAGTCACATACAAGACCTGGGAGCTCCAAACTGGTTCAGAATTAAGGCAAGGACTGCGATGACCAGACTCAGGAATCCCAATCCAACCATGGAGCAAACCTTAGCTGCAGCCCAGGCAAAACCAATTCAACCATCATATTGGTTAATGATAATACAGTCCTGATAATTGAGTGACTGTTTATGTTGATTGAAGCAATGACACCTGTATGAAATAACACAGCAGGGGATGTCTAGATAAGAAAGAAAACCCAACTAGAAAAGTGATGTGCCAAGACAAAAGCAGTGACTCTAGGGGCTGACCAAGAAAGTTTCACAGATGCGGAAGCTGCAACACACGGCGTTGCGATGGACAGTAGTTGGTCTCAGCACAGGAGCTTGAATCCAGCAGTGACTCAGTCAACACTGAATGACAAAAACAAGAACTTTCAGTAGGCAACTATGAGTAAGAACCTGGCACATCGCTCCGGATTGGAAGGAGCCGTCACATCAGTGGAGCGGCGTCGCTTGAGCAGGCAGAGGTGCTGTATTGTCTCCTGTACCCACGCCATATGCAGAGCTGTGCTGCAGACACTAGAGGCCATTGCTGAGTACGGCATGCCCTGCCAAATGACAGATCGTGGTAACCATGGTGAGTTTACCCGTTTCTTTGCAGTCTGCATCAAAAATGTAATAAGACATAATGCCATGCGCCGACCACTTTATCAGCAGCAGCAGGCCCGGAGAACAAAGAAAAGGATTTGACTTGGCCATGGTGCCAGGCTCCATACACCCATGGCAGAAGTTGTGCCAGTCAAACTCAGCTGGAGAGGAGAAAAAAAAACCCTGAAAAATCCTTGATTTCACCTCAATTTAAGATTATGCAATCACGAAAATGAAATTAATTGTGGGGGTATTAGTATCTCACAGGGTAATGGACCTTGAGCTTTTTGACCTATCACTTTGTATGTTAATCTCAAGGAGAAGCCCTGGGTCTTGGATGATTGTTACTCAATTAACCCAAAATACATCTGCATGTCTGAACATCCTGTGTATCTCAGATTAAAAAAGAAACAAACCAAAAATCACCAGCTATTGCCATTATAGTTAGCAAGAAAAATTAGGCCAGCAAGTCTCACAGTCAATACCCAGTCAAAAATCAGTGTGATGATTAGGTATTCACTAGGGAGAAAAAAAGGAGGGGGAATGTAAATTGAGGCTTGCTCTCTCACATTAAAATGACAATGGAGGCAAGACAGTTAAGAATTGATAATCGAAAAGGGAGTGTGCTTGGTACTGAATTTAAGTGACACCCTGTATCACATCCCAAATTGTCTTAGTGCTTGCTGCTGCTTAAAACCTAAATTAATGTACACACTTTCCTCCCTCTACTTTCCTAATTAAATGTACACAAAACCTTTTATATACTCATTTATTCTTGTGCCAACAGCGTCTTTTATGTCTGTATTCAAACAGAAGGCTGCCAGAAGCATTTTTCCCCACAAAAACATAGTGATTTTCTTGCTAATCAATATTAATCTTTATTAATTGAGTAGGGGGTGTCCAACAATACAGCAAAACGAAATTAGATTTTTGTGTCAAAATCTCTTTCTTCCAGCAGTCTCTCTGAGCCCAAATTAACACCCTGGGAGACAAAGGATCTGGAATCAATCTTTGTTTGCCTAAACTCCCACTGACCACGAATCTTCACATTAATTTCTGATAGGTTTTTAGGGATCCCTTCGGCTCCTTTGGTACTGTCTCCAAGCCTGAGCAATGATACCAATTTGCTGATCTTAGTTTTAATTCTGAATTTTATTGCTGCTGCTTGCTTGAAAAATAACTGGGAAGGCATCTTGCTGTGCACCCTGCAAGGAAGCAGCAGGAGCAGGAACACTAGGGTACACTCACCTGATCCACTCCCAGCAGAAGCCATGGCATCTACACAGCTCAACTGCCACTGTTTCACAAACAGCAAAGTAAAATCAGGAATAGTTACTCAACTCACGGAGTTACTCATGTAGAACTGATTTAGACAACTTGACAGCCAACCCCATTAGATATGTTTCTCCACTAGCCTGTACTTTGTAAGGTCCTGTAAAACTGCAAGGGCAAACTGCTGCCATTTTACAAACTTTCTACACATGAACATGACAGCATGTAAGAGCCACCTGTAGCCTGGAGTTTATCCAAGGTACAGGGTAGAGTCTGTGGAATCTCGCCGCTTCTACCTCTATTTCACAGTCTCTTCAAGCTGAGGTTGCTTGCAACATAAAGGCTGATGCCACCATTTCTGTGGCTAGTGGCCCATCACCTCTTTACATAGAGCCCGGTGCTGGATGTTACTGCTTCTGCCACACAACTGGAGGACATTCCTCATCTGCTTCAGATGATGGCAGCTTGATTCCTGATGGTACGAGACAACCAGGCTGGAATATTTTAACTGAGAGGATATAAATTTTTCTGTCTTAAACTGGAAAACTTTGCAAGAAAACACATGAGAAACATTCACGTAAGCTGCTCTGCCAACGTATATTATGAGACTTCTTCAAGCACAAGGGGAGAGGTAACACCTTCACCCAGCACAGCCATTTCTGCAGGGAGTATCTGGACACAGCCTGAATCACAGTTGTAGTGTTTTGGCTGAGGACAATAATATTTGATTGGTTAGCCCTCCACACACTTCGGTTTAATAACTACTTGCCATCCATGGGACCCCACATGCATGTCTACGCGAGTAGATGTGCTGCATAGCCAAGCCACACACTGAACTCTACAGGAGTTGCCAACCCAGAGCAAAACCAGACTCCCACTCCCCCTAACCTTCCAATAAATTTTTTAATTTAAAATAATGGACCCTGTTCTCATTTGCACAAAACATTCCTTATAGCACTGGCTGTTAAAGTTGTATTTTCACCCACTATTTCCCCCTTAAACAGCCCTTGTGGTAGAAACAGACCTTTCTTTGAATAAAACTATTTCCTTTTAAAAAAATCCAGTGCTCACACAAATATGTTCTCAAGAACTAGGACATTCTTTATCGTAACAGCCAGAGGCCTTGCTCTTTTGATCTGTCACACTCTGGGCCCTTCCTCTAGTACTCTCGTTCTATTTAATCTTTCCATGTTGATAACGGTCATGTTTTATGTCTCCTCTTCCTACCCTCCCTGCCTTTTTTCTTTTTTTTAATCAGAAAACCAGAAGACAGTCACTTGGACTCCCACCATTTCTCTCTTCTAGCTTAAGACACAGGCTATTTCTACACTAGCAAGTTATTTGGCACAAGGAAAGGATCAAAATATGAAAGCATTTGGTGCATGTACACCACATGTAGTTGGGGTGAGGGGGCATGCCTGAGGATTAGATTTTAGTCTGGTCCCCCAGACTAAGTGTCTGTATAGTGGGTATGGTTCAAAGCTGCCCAATCTTTGGATTGGACCCTTGTGTTCCCACTAAAAGGGATGAAGCATCAGTGGCTGTGCAACTGGGGAAGAGCTTCTAGTTTACTTTTATCCAAAAGGAATCAAGTTAGCGTGAACCAAAACCACTCTGCAACTCAAGCAACATGTGATGGGTGGGGATGACGAGGAGATTTGCTGACTGTGAAAACCATACCATTGCTCTGAAGCTAAATACTCAGGTAGACAAAGCCAAAAATGCCAGTTTTCTAAATGTCCAAACAAGTCCAATTCTGACAAATTAGCACAAACAAGTGCTCATTCTGAAACATGTTCAGTGTGCTTCTTTTCAGATTATTTTTAACTTCACATGGGCTTCAAGAGATCAGGGAACCAGCAAATTTCAGTCTGAATCAGAGGAGGGAGTGTATTTCCTAGAAATTCTCCCCTCTGATAATGCACAAACACTTTGCTCTCTGCCCTGCCTACAAACAGTATTCTTTCCAGTACTCCCACTCCAAAAACAACCTCTCAATATGGACAACAATATCAAACATAAGCTGTCTCTGTAAAGGGTGACAAGCAAGCCATTTGCTCATGCAAGCCTGCACTGCAGTCTTAATAAAATAAGGAATGGCCTTGTGCGCTTGGTATCATTTCTCAGGACCGAATGGAATTTGCTTCTCCAGTTGCAAGTGACAGCCCCAGTTAGGGAAATTCTTTTTGTTTCATCTCTCAGTGAGAATCTGCACTTTTCACCAAGAAACTTCTAGTTGCTGTGAGGTCTGGCAGGTGCACTGACAGCCCTGTTGGTCCTCAGCTACAGCAGTACCCGTTGTACAGCCCACCACTTGTTCATGTGGAGCCAAGACGCAGTGCCTTCCCTTGTCACAGTCTCTGCTGGAATTTGTCTTTCCAGATCCTACATACAACAGGGTTTTGTCTTGAAACCTGACATTTTTGCAAGAATTAAAATAAAACCAAAGGAAAACCTCAAGCTGTTTCTGCTGGCTTCTGTATCTTAGAACTACTTTTCTCTGACCTGTGCACACTCTGGAATGCTGGTGAATATCCACAGAGACTAAAAACACATCGAAACAAGGGGAAAGACAAACTACAGACCAGTTCACAGCTGGTGTAAATCTCTCTGGTTCCACTGAAGTCAATGGAGATGCTCCACTTCAGCTCAGCAGCTGGCCCTCTTACAGAGAAATAGAGTTAAACAATATGAAACACAAAACAGACGAGGAGGAAACAGTACTTTGCAGGATTCAGTACAATAAGCAAGAGAATACAAACAAATCAAAACATGGCTGTTAGAAAGGATAACAGAGGATCCCCTGGGACGCTGCAGGGTCAGATGAGGCTGGGAAGGTAGAGCCACAGCACCACAGGTTCCTCACAAAGCACCTTTTTACCACCCAGGCAGAAAAAGTGCTTGTGCAGGAGATGAAAACAGGGCTCCTCGAGCACAGTTTGGAACTGACAGCCTGGAGTGCTGCACACAGGGGTCCAATTCTCAGAGCACAGGCCCCCCAGGAAGGTGACTGATAATTCGGACAAAACACTGCCAGCCTGGTTGCAGACACCCTGGGCCAGGAGTCACCACTGACCTGGGCAATGAGGAAGAGGAATAGGCACCAAAGTCTGCTGTGAGAACATGTTCTGCTTCCCTCAGCCTGGGGTAAGGCAGAGGAGTCAGCACCCGGATGCTTTCAGCATCCTGAGTCACTTGCAGAGCAGCTGCATTTTCCTCACCCACAGTCATCCCTAGATCTGCCAACAACCCACAGTGGCTTCCCCCCCTCTCAATATTTCCTCCTCTCCAAACAGCTCCCCTCTCTCAGGACTTTAGTCCCCATTTTTGAGTCCCCAACATGCTCCTGTGCAAGAAAAGAAGCACAGTCACCCCCCAAGCACAAGTCCTTCATCTCACTGACCCACTTACTGAGGGCAGTTTAAACATGATTCTGCAGAGTGGCCAGTCTCAGCCCAAACTTGAAAGGAGTTAGCTCTGCAGCAAGGACGCAGCTCCAGGAGCTGAGTCGACACTGCCTTTCCAAATACTCCTGCACCAGAAGCCCTGCACTGCAGGGAAGCAGCATTACCTCCCAGAGGAAAATCCCTGTGAGATCCACAGCTGCCCAGAGCCCTCCGTTGGCCGAGACCAAAATATTCAGCATTCATACAGAGAAGCTTCTGCAGGGCTGATTTCAAGCCAAAAGGGACAGATTTCCTGTTTTCCTCTCCTCTGCAGGATGGGGCAGGGGGGGGTCCTTCGCCCCAGGTTTGGAAGCAAACCTAGGATTTCTACTCTTGTCTGGGGGGCATTTAATTTAGGCACAAAAGAGAAGAATTCTCCTTCAACCCAGAATTAAGCTCCAGAAAGGAGGGGGCCATTTGCAGTCATATCACTCTGAATGCGATATGTGCAACTGCAAGGACTGCTTTGTCTAACTCCCTTGGCCTTAGGCCACGGTGCTGGCAATACCACTAGCTAGAGGAAGAGCTGGTGCATGAGGATAATGGCAGAAGACAGGGAGGGAAGAGAGAGCCCATTTTGGATTCAGAGGAGGACGTTCTTTCATTGAAAAGCTTCTGGGGGTGTTGAAGATGATCCGAACTGAGAAAGAGAGGACAACTTAGACAGGAATAGTTCCAGGATGACAGCAAACTGCTGCTAACTTGCCATTACAAGGAAAAAAGGAGCAAGGGGAGGGGGGGGAAAGATAAAACTGCATGAAAGAATCTAAAATCCCGGTCGCAGCCGGAGCGTTTAGAAAGCACAGAGACACGGCAGCCAGAGGAGCGGAGACAGAAACTTCACCACTCAGCTCGCATTGTGAGCGGCATGTCTGACCCGGGGTTTTGCAGTCCTCCCTCGCAGAGCAGCCAGGCTCGGATCCCCCCCATAGCATGACCTAATCCCCACCCCTCACCCACCATCGCAAAATACCACCTTTGTTTTCCCTGCAATTTTACGGCTGTTCCGGAGAGCAAAGCACAGGTTCTCGTGGGAGCCGACAGAAGAACGGTTTCCCTTGCTAGGCTTTGTTTTGTTTTCTTTTTTTTCTTTTCCTCCGGTGACACTTCTGCTTTTTGTCAAAAAAATCCTCAGCACATCCCCTGCTTCCCAACCCCTTTGCAGAGCAGTGCTCGGGTCCACGGTGCTCCCCACACACAACCCAGGCACACCGAG